AAAATTGGGCAATAATAGAGATTTTAGAATAAAATTGGGCAATAGAGTATTTCTTAAAGTGAGGTAGAATAATTGAGGACAAGTTATGGTTAGTTTATAATAAAATAAGATAGAACAGTGATGTGGTAAGATGTAAAAAAGGAGATAGATTCTGTAGATATTAAACACAATTAAGACTATGAGGTAGAATGGTCATTGAATACAACAATGACAATCAAAAGTAGTTGGGGTATTAGAATTTTAGGGGGGCACAAATTTATGACAATATAACACTAACGGTGGACTGTGGGTATTATCTGCACTTTACTCTGATTCTGTTAGTCCAGCCTCACTTAGGAATGTTTTAAGGTCATGTTCTGTAGAGATGAAGTATCTCTTCCAGTGGGCTGTTTCCTAACTGTGATTTTTCCGTCCTCACAAAGCACTGGTGGATTTTTTTGGGCATAGCGTAATTTTCTTAGCCGATAAAGGAGGTTTTGTCTTGTTTTGGTAAGGCACTCATTGACGTAAACATCAGTTTTCATAGAAATAGATGTTTTTAGTAGGTTGTTTCTTTGTAGGCTAGTTTGGAATTTTAACAGCACTGTTTTTTTACCTGCTTGGTAGCCCATCAGTTTGCAATCCTTTAGGTCATCACTACGTATGTTAAGGCGAAGGTGGTCCTTGATAAGCTGTAGGGTGGTCTCCATGCAGGTTTCTTGGGTGACTGTGGGTGGGAGATGTTTGCTGTTAACTACAACAGCGTCAGATAGCTGCTGTTGGTCATTATGGTCTTGGAAGTTGGTTATGACATTGGCAAGTTGTTGGTCCACTCTTGATCTTTCCTCTATAATGTTGGTAGTAAGGAGGGTGACTTGGTCTTTTAGAGTGTTGATGGTGTCTAGGAGCTGGGTGTGGGTGTTGCTTTGTTGTTCCAGAGTGTCTAGTTTATGTTCTAGAGCAGTGATCATGCTGAGGTAATCTGCATTGCTGGCTTTTAGTTCCTGCATTTCTTGAGTTAGTTTGGTGATCGTTTGGTTCTGGATCGTAAGGAGTTTAGCTATTTCTTGGTCGGTGATCTTCTTGACATCAAATCCTAGGAAGGAGTTATCTTGGACTGTGGCGGCGGCCATGTTTGTTGTTGTCTGTCGTGTGTTGTGGTGGTGCAGGTGGGTGAAGATAAGATAAGATTTCGTTCGGATTTTTAATCCCGGAGGGTTAGCCACCCAGGGTAACCCAAGAAAGTCAGTGCGTCATCGAGGACTGTCTAACTTATTTCCATTGGGGTCCTCAATCTTGTCCCCCAGGATGCGGCCCACACCAGTCGACTAACACCCAGGTACCTATTTGCTACTAGGTGAACAGGACAATAGTGTAAGGAAACGTGTCGAAATGTTTTCACCCGCCAGGAATCGAACCCTGGCCCTCCGTGTGTGAAGCGGGAGCTTTAGCCACCAGGCCAGTACCACAAGTTTTCCTTGTGTTATTACTGGTTTCACCTTTGATGTTAGGAGTCCTTAGCTGGTTACTGGATCTTCTTTTATTGCTCTGACCCTTGTCCATTGGCTGTGGCTTCGGGTGAATAGTAGGCGATGGATGATGGGTGAATGTTGTGGAGTATCACTTCATTGGCAGCGGGGTAGGAGGTGGTAATACGAGTCCTATTAGTTGGTAATTTGTGTACTTTTGGGTGATTTCTGCAGTTGATTTATATCATTCTGGGTATCCACACATGTTAGTGTTATGTGGGTCTTGATTAGGCCATCACTGGGCTGCTGGGAACCTCAGGTAGAAGTAAAAATAGAGGAGAAGGTTCCTGTTGCCGGTGCCGCTGCCGGATGGATGTTAAAAATCAAAATATATAACTCCAGGCAGGTCATTACTTTATATCACTCTAATATACCCTTACCTCACCTATGATATTTGTGTTTGGGGATCCACCATGGCCAATCACCTTAAACCTTTAATAAACCAACAAAAAGCTGCAGTGTGGATGATCACAAACTCCTGTGCCAGACAACACACCCCACCACTCTTCAAGAGCTTGAACTCACTTAATATACAAAATATACACACATATAATTGTGCCTGCTATATATACAGACCATTAAACTCCAATAAATACCCTCTGCTCAAACTTCTCTTGGTCAGCTACAACAGAACACACAGGCATAACACGAGGCACAAAACACTTTTTGATATCCCTCGTGTCCATCTCACACTATGCAAAAATGCAATGCACATATCTGAAAGTCTTTGCCCAAACCAGCAAGAGGTCCCCTGCCCACAAATCAATTTAAGACTATACTAAAAAATCATCTCATCTATCAATAATAACCATACCCACTCTATGTTAATCTCTAACCAGTTTTGAAGCAACTCTCCCAAATATTTTATTACCCCTTATCTATTAATTATTACATACCTAAAAATGTATGTCTGTATCATAAATTTTACTACATGTAATACTGTTATCAGTTTTGTCTGCATTAAACTATTTATTTATTTATTTATTTATTTATTTATTTATTTAGTAATTTGAGCATACATACAGAGGTACAAAAAAATACAGGTAAGAGCAGCATGCCAAAGCCACTTATATGCATAGGATTATGGGCTGGCTTAAAATTAACTTAAGATTAACTAAGCAATGATGAAATCAGTGATAAGACATTATTGTAAACAGATAACTATAAAACACAAATGAGTATTACAAAGACAGGTCATATGGTTGCATGCATTGCTGTACATTCAGTCGAAAGGAGTATTCTGTTAGATTGGGTTTTAGGTTTAACATTTATGTGATATAATTGTGAGAAACATTTAAGATATACAATTTATAAGGTTCAGTTATTCAGTATTTATTTGGTTTTGGGTGAGTAAGTGATCTTTGAGAAGAGACTTGAATTTATAAACAGGTAGTGTTTCTTTTATATTTACAGGTAATGAATTCCAGATTTTAGGGCCTTTTTTGTGCATTGAGTTTTTACATAGCGTGAGATGGACACGAGGAACATCAAAGAGTGATCTGTGCCTTGTGCTTTGGTCATGTGTTCTGTTGAAGTTGGCAAGGAGATGTTTGAGGGGAGGGTTAATATCAGAGTTAAGTGTTCTATGTATGTAATAGGTGCAATAATAAGTATGGATGTTTTGTATGGTGAGTAGGTTGAGTGTTTTGAATATTGGTGGAGTGTGCTGCCTGTAGTGAGAATTTGTTATCATTCTAACTGCAGCCTTTTGTTGGGTAATTAGTGGTCTGAGATGGTTAATTGTTGTTGAGCCCCATGCACAAATTCCATAGGTGAGATAGGGGTAAATAAGAGAGTGATATAGGGCCAGGAGGGCTGACTGTGGAGCATAGTACCGTATCTTCGATAGTATGCCTACAGTCTTGGAAATTTTCTTAGAAATTTGTTGTATATGTGTATGAAATTTGAGTCTATTATCAAGGTGGATTCCTAAGAATTTTCCCTCTGTTAGCTTTGTGATAGGTGATCCGTTTATCATTATGTTAAGAGGGACATCTGTAGCTCTGTTACCAAACTGAATGAAGTAGGTTTTGTCAATGTTTAGTGTAAGTTTGTTAGTCCTCATCCAGGTAGATATTTTCTGTAATTCAGTATTTACAGTATTGGCTAGCGTGACTGGGCTCGGGTGAGAGAAGATGTATGTAGTGTCATCTGCAAATAGTGTGGGGTTTGAGTAATTGCGAAGCATTTGGTAGGTCATTTATGTATAGGAGAAAGAGAAGAGGGCCAAGGACACTTCCCTGTGGGACACCAACTGTAATTGGTTGTGCGGAAGAGCTTGCCCCATTTGCGTACACATATTGGTTTCTGTTGCTGAGGTATGACTTGAGGTAGTTGAGGGAGTGCCCTCTTATACCATAGTGACAATTTTACGTGGAGCAAGTCATGGTCAACTGTATCAAAAGCTTTATGTAAGTCAATGAAGATCCCCAGTGGGACTTCTTTTTTCTCTATTGCAGTGTATATATGTTCTAGCATGTGTATAATAGCATCATTAGTATTTTTGTTAGGCCTGAATCCAAATTGGCAGGGGTTGAGTATGTTTTGGGAGATGAGGTAGAAGTAGATTCGTTTATGAATTAATTTTTCGAAGATTTTTGAGAGAGGGTGTAAATTGGATATTGGCCTATAGTTATTCAACTCTGTTTGGTCTCCTCCTTTATGGATCGGGGTGACCCTTGCTATTTTGAGAACCGTAGGGAAGGTGGAAGATTCAATGGATTTGTTAAAGAGTGTTGCAATGATTGGTGATAGCACTTGTGACACTTTTTTGTATATAAAGGGTGGTAAGGTATTTAAATCTCCTGCCTTGTTTTTTAGTGCGTTGATAATAAGGGAGACTTCGTATGGGTTAGTCGGAGCTAGGAACAGTGTGTTCGGGTAGTTGCCAGTGAGGTAGTCATTTGGTGGGGTATCTGAGATTGGGATTTTATTGGCAAGGTTTTGTCCTATAGTGGAAAAGAAATCATTGAGTCTGTTTGCTGTTTCTGTTGGTGGGAGTTGGGGTTCATCTGATTTTGCTAATTTTATTTCACTATTTCGTGATATCTTTTTTATTCCCAGAATTTCTGATAGGGTTTTCCAGATCTTTTTTATATCACCTCGTAAGTTGGATAGTCTGTTCTCATAATACGTGTACAATTTTTTTGCCCTTCTTATCAGGCTGGTTAGGATTGACGAGTAACGTTTTGTTTGGTCTCTGGTTATGTGACCCATTTTGTACTGTTTTTCATAAAGCTTATTAACTAAAAAAATTGGCTACCTTATATTAATAATAGAGTAAAATACTGGATATTTGAAATTTACCACTCTACCTGCCTAGACTTAAGTAGTCTTTAAGTATTAGGTTAAGTCTGCCTGAAATGCCCTGGCAGGACAGTGGCTTTCTTTTTATCAAACAAATTATGAAATGTAAACACACTGTAACCTTTGCAAAGAAATAAACTTCTGTTTTGCATTTTTTTTTTTGTGTGTGTGTGTGTATAAACTTAC